TTAATTTCCACCAATCACAAACGCGCAATTTTGAATTACAAATGGTTTCTAGGTGAAAAAACTGTGTGACAGCACCTGTCAGCAGTTTATTCGAGTTTACCCGCGGCAAAACTTGACAGCTGTTGTCACCAAAAATTGCAATTTATATTTTAATTGTTAACTGTTACTCATGAAATAGTCTTGTCAAATACCATTCGGGCATCTAATTTTTCCTGTGAAAAAAATCGAAAAAACACAATGCTAAGTAATATTTTTTAACAAAATGCATTCGTGCAGGTGCAAAAATCCTCCTCTTCGACTCGGATTTTTGTTGCCACCAGCACTCATGCTTTTTGTTAAAATATTACTTAGCAACGTGTTTTTTCGATTCTTTTCGGAAAAATTAAATGCCCTTATGATATTACTTACGATTATTTCCCTCAATATAATATGAACCAATCAAAAGCCTTGAATTTTCGAATAAATTTCGTTTAAATAAGCGATTAAATCACTAGACCTTTTTAACAGCGATTAAATTTTAGCCTCCATATTGGATTTTTGTTTACGATTTTATGGTGTTATTTACAAGTTTTAACAAACATTTTTTAAAAAACAATTAAAAATAAGTTATCTAGTTTACGAAATATCAATTATTACTTATAACATACCTTAAATTAATGGAATTTTCTTTAAAAAAATATTTATAAACTTTGACACATACGTCAGATTTTATGAATGGTCAAATAGTTTCCTTTAATTCGAAAAATAATCTAGACGTATATCACTCAACCTATAAATTTAATATGTCAAACTATGCTCAGTAAGTTTTTTATTTGATTTTTCTTTTTGGAAAATAGTTTCATGCAAAATAATTAAAAATAAAACCCCTCGACCGCTACGCGGTCTCGTGATTTTATTAAATTATTTTGCATTCAACATTTTCCAACAAAAACCAAACAAAAAACTACTGAGCCTAGTTTACCCGATTAAATTCATAGTTCTCGTGATATAATATATGATAATTTACTTGTCAATTATAAATAAAAAGATAATTATGCCAAAAATAATAGCAACGAATTCGAATGTAAAAGCCCTTTTGAGGGCAAAACTTCATTTTGATGCATCGCCTTATGGACATTTTTGAAGTAAAAAAGTAACGAATTTGGTTTTATAAATATTACATCACACATTATGTTCACATTATTCACCATTGGACAAGATTTATATTCACAAAACATGTTTATTTCTTTTATATAAATTCTTTTCAAAGCGAAGATTATTATCCGCTAGGAATACTTTCTCTTCTGGGCCGTAAAGCAACCTATATTTAACTACTTTTTTATATGATTTTACTCATCCAAGCACCACCAAAGCCAAATTAATTGCATTTTTAACTACGAATTTCGACAACTCAACTTGACAACTGCACAATGTAACCTACAATAATTTATACATAACCACAATTAGATTTATAACTAGCTTAGTTTGTTTTAATCAATGCGACCAACTTGACAACTGTATTTACCAACCAAAACCCTAAATTTGCAACGTTGCCGCAGTCCAGATAAAAAAAATAAACTTTATATATCTAATTAATTATAATTTAGGTATCATACAATTTCCGGGTAAAATAATTTCAAATAGCACAATAAACATTTTGGGCTGGTACATTATTTTTGTTGATTAACTTATTATTTTACATTTTAATTAGGACTATTTTGTTTGTGTTCAGAGACAAAAGAGCAGTTTTATTTATACTTTTTCTTTGTTGATTAACAATCCTCTTATGCAATACTTTGACTTATTTTGTGTAAATAGGTGATTTTGTGTATCTACCATTGTACTGTGTGTTTGATAATAAGCAAGCAATATTTACAGGATGTCGTACATAAAATGTCCATCACTGTAAAACTGCAGTGCAGTGCAGTGACATCAATAGATCTCGAGAAGGCTGCAGGATATTTTATTTGTTTCTCGATTCTCGATAATCGCTAATTAAATTCGCAAAAATTAAATCCGGTTGTTAAGTCGTAATTTTTTAAAAGGGTCCAAACAAAAATAGGATGTGGCTTTTCGATCGGTAAATGTAGACGTGCAGTTTCGAGTGGCAGTGGTAAAGTAACCGCGGTGCGTTTGTTTTTCCCGCAGATGTCGCTGCACGGCGACAGTTGCAACGGCGTGTCGCTGCACCCGTACCGTCCGATTCTGGCGACCTCCAGCGGCCAGCACCATGCCCAGGATCCGCTGCACCACACGCGCAGCCAGACGGTCTACGAGAACGCCATCTGCATGTGGTGGGTGGGCCTGCAGGAGGAGGACTCCGACCTGATGGCCACCATCATCAAGGCGGCAACCAACTCTTCTTCTCTCTTGTAAATACCTTGCGCAATCGATGGAAATTGATTTTTACCAACCCCTTCAATTTTATCGATTGTTGTACCTATGTTCATTGAATTAAATAAACGATTTTTTTATTATTTTTTTATTAACACTTATCCTAGCCCTTTTGAGGCAGTTAGGTTCCAGCACTTGAGAAGGGACCACGCGAAGCGAGTGCTCTTGAAACGTAAAAGGTTAAAGATTAAAACCAACAATAATTTTTAAAATGTGCAAACCAATTATAGTGAAACAAACAATTTTAATAGAGTTCAAACTAAACTAAAATGGTGCAATGGTCAATGAAGAGTGAAGTGTTAAGTGATGAATGAGTTAAGTGCCACCTGTCATTGGACGCTTTTCACTGGACAAACAAAGGAGGTCAATCAAGAAGGGAGGTGGCCATTCGCAAAAAATTGATAAGTATTGATAAGCAAATTCATGACCTAACACATAATCTGCAAATTAAACACGACGATATCTTAAAACTCAAGAAAGGCACACTGCGTAGAACAATAAAGCTGTCAACAACAAACAAGGCAAATCCAAACGAGACCAATAATAAACACTAGACTCACAGAATAAACTAACACATTAATCATAATCCTAACATAGTTTAAAAAAAAGCATAATAATCACTCTACTGGATTTGTAAACATTAGATAACAGAATAATTGCGCTTGTCATTTGTTTAACTAATAAATAAATGCATTACTTAATTTTGGAATTTAAGAAAAAAAGACAAAACTCTACCACAAAACGTGCTTGGGCAACACAATAACTAATAATAAAAAAAATTGTTAGAAATTTCGGAAATTTCGCACTTCTGCGGCAATAAACAATTAAAAAAAAACACCAAAAGCTACAAGCTACATCCAGCTACTGAACTATCTATTGATGGTTTTTGGCATCAAGACTGAGGACACGGGCAATGACAATAACGAACAAGACGAAGACCTCGACTAGGAAACTTCACCCCTGCAGCGAAATAACAACTCCCCAACTCCAAATAGTAATCCAAAATGTTTGGAGTAATACTAATCGAATGGTCTAGGGTGATTCCGCGTCGTACTTAGTTTTAAGTCGGCGTAATTGTCCTCCAAAAACCAACACCCTCCCGTCCCTCCTCCATACCTCACCGAGCGTATAGCATAGGCTCGGCGAACCCGGGAATGGCTATTAAAACTATTCGCCTCTCGCTCTCGAGTCCCAAATAGAGGACAGTACGAAACGCAATGGACATTCGCACCCAGCAAACACGGGTGAAGCCGTGCAGTTGCTGGGGAAGAACAAAAATCGGCGTAAGTAAACATAGGCCTGTACGGGGTTCGAGAGTCAAGAGGAAATGGGGCTGGTTATACGTCTCTTATACTCATTCTCATAATCACTTATCCTAGCCCTTTTGAGGGCAAAACCAGTGTTGCCACCTATAACTTTTTATAGACGGATGCGTCAAAATGTAATAGATTTGGGATTTAAGGTAATAGACTATTCAGATCTATTACTAAAGTAATAGGGGTGGCAACACTGGGCAAAACTTCATTTTGTTGAAATTATGCCAAATGCCACAATGAAAGAAAAAGTACATCGCCTTATGGACATTTTTGGAGTAAAAAAGCAACGAATTTGGTTTTATAAATATTACATCACACATTATTTTAACATTATCCACTATTGGACAACATTTACGTTCACAAAAAATTTTAATTTCTTTTATATAAATTCTTTTCAAAGCGAAGATTATTATCCGCTCGGAATACTTTCTCTTCTGGGCCGTAAAGCAACCTATAATTAACTACTTTTTTATATGATTTTACTCATCCAAGCACCACCAAAGCCAAATTAATTGCATTTTTAACTACGAATTTCGACAACTCAACTTGACAACTGCACAATGTAACCTGCAATAATTTATTTATAACCACAATTAATGCGACCAACTTGAAAAAAAAATAATTTTTACCAACCCCTTCAATTTTATCGATTGTTGTACCCACAGACCTACAAACAAAATGGACTGGCCTTTCCCATTCAAAATACACAATGTTTTGTTGCCAAGAACGATTTAGATTAGGGGTAAAGGAGTAAGGAGAGGGGTGTTAAATTTATAAACAAGTTCCCACACCAGTGGCGTTCTGTTTTTGGGATCATAATTTAAATAAAAATTCAATCCTTTAATTAATTTAAGTGAATTCATTTATTTATTTATTCAGTTTCTACGCCCCTGGCAGGGTTTGTTTTGTAAATAAACTAACCTATGAAAAGAAAGTTTTAAATTCTTGGATCCAAGTCTTTTACAAACGTAGCACTGCTTCACCATTTTTATATCACTCACTATTGGTATTGTTCACTATAAAATATTAAATAAGTTGTGGATTCCAAGTATCTTTTACGTAAAATATAGATACTTCAAAGCAAATAAAGTCAGATGTGACAACTGAGGGAAAATATTTATTTTTGTTCCTTTCCACTCTTTTCAATGTAAATAAACCGGTCCATTTGTTTGTAGGTCTGTGGTTGTACCTATGTTCATTGAATTAAATAAACGATTTTTTTATTATTTTTTTATTAACACTTATCCTCTACAAATAAATAAATAAATAATCCCTACAATAAATACTATCCCTACGACGAAAAAGGCACTTTTAGGATTTTGGCGGGGGTTTTAACATCGATCTGGCGGCCGACGCCAATTTTTGCGACACCATCGTCGCGATGTTCGAACTTCTTTTCCACATGAATTCTTTTGTTTTTTCGTGGTTGTCTGCGCTGTCCACACGCACCTAAAATTGTAAAGATTAAATTTAATTCAACATTGAACATAAAACATGAATCAAATGGTCAAATTACGTGCAGTTCCCGTAAAACATTATTTTCACTTTTACTGTGAAAAACTGCTTCTGTATCGAAAATTTGAGATTTTAACGCCGGTAGATTCCCAAGTTAGAAATTCAAAGAATTAAATATTTTCTTAACATTATCATATTTTGAAGTTATTTTAATATTTTAAAGTATCAATAATTGTTAAGTATAATTAAAATAATATTGGTTTAAAAGAACCAATGTCATAAGACCTGGACAATTTGTAATGGACGAGTGCGACAAAAGGTATTATGATGTTTTGAAAAAATTCTATAAAAAAATTAATTTTATACCATAAATTTAATTTGGTCGAATTTTACTTTAGATAGTTGGTACCACAGTCATTGGTTTGACAGTTTATGTCAAAATCGATTCGCCATGACGTCCTTAATTTACTTATTTACAATAAGCGGCTGTTAATGTTAAAGAAGAAAAAAATGATTTTCTTTGGTGTTTAAACCAAATTTATTGCCGGAAAAGTCTCGTAAGTACTAGAAAAATCAATTAGTTTAAATAGTATAGTTCTCAAGGTGAGTGTGACTGTGAAAACAATTCCGTGTTCAATGAATTGGAGTTGAAAGGTTCATAAGGATTGATAATCGCTTATAAAGAATTTTATCTCCACGCGGTCTATAATTTAAACTTTACTGTTGTCAACATTCGATAAAGAAATACCTTGTTATGGCCTAGGCCGATAAAAAATTTTATGAGGCAAGTAATTACTTTTTCTCGCTAGGGGTAATGTTTTGACAAATTAATCCTTTTCTAAGAAATTAACGTACTAAGCTGGTTTAATTTATTTAAAATAAGCACTAATTTGTTTGTTTTACTGTTAATGTTTAATATTTTTCATTAAATTATTGTAGAATTAAATATGAATAATAAAACAAAAAGTGAGGTTAGGCAACCAAGAAAACGCACGATTCTTTTTCTACGATTTAAATTATCTTTAAGTTTTAATTTGCTTTAAGTTTTTAGTGAAATTAAATGTTGCTAATGCTAATAAATAAATGAGATTCAAAAAAAGTGAGGTTAGGCCGCTTTGATGTTGAATTAAATTGACCTATATAAAGTGCTTTGAAGATAAAATGTTGTGTGCCATTCGGCCAAGAAAAGTGCCTTTTTGTGCTTCGCTCAATTGTAGGCCTCCGCTAGGCGTCGGCCTTCAAACCTTGAGCTTAGCACTAAAAGCCGTACTTCTTAACCTAATGATATAAATAACTATTAGGTGGAGCGAAGTTCACCGAGTCATCTAGTATTAAAAAAAATGTAAATTGATGAATAATACCTGTTTGGGTTGCAACACTCTGATCGAATGTAAAGTGGCAGCTCCGCCGTGCATTATCCTCAGGTTAAGTCTGCCAAACATTTCGGCGGTCGTGGCCGTGGCACTTTTTAGCTCCCTCTTGGCTCCACGTCCAAACTATTAATAACAAAAAAAAAATTAACAAACCTTGAGTAATAAAAGCACCAAATCATTACTTCTCTCTCGACTCGTAACGTCAGCGGCCCCAAGACGAAGTTGGTTTTCACGGTGGTGTGGTCCGACAGCATGTTCACGGAAACATCCCCTTCCCTCTTGATGGAACTCAGCCCGAACAGAGTGGCGCGCGCCTTGGGGCTCTTCTTCGTCGACTGCTTGCCCGCGTTGCCTTTTTTCGTCTTGTTTTTGTCTTTTTTGTTTTTGTTCTTGTTGCTCGACGGTCGCGCCGGGGCGGCCCTGGTCTCAGTGCTCACCGTGATGTTTTTGATCGGGTATCCCGACGAAGATTCGCCCACTTTCGATATCAATATGAACGCGGGCTCTCTGCTTTCGCTCTCTGTAGCCCGGGCGATCGAGACGTCGCCCATTTTGTTCGTCGCCCTGTTGCTAGGGTTGGGAAAATTTCACTTTTTGCTTGTACTTGAAATTTCACTTGAAATTTTCATAACATTTATGAAATTTATTAAAATTTCCTAAATTTCAGAAATTTATGAAATTTATTGAAACTTTCAATAAATTTCAATCACTTTAAGTGTAATATATTAATATTGAAATAAGCCCACTCGGGGACCATGGCAAATTGCCTCTCTTACCTCCTACCCCTCTGTGGGCCCCTGCACCAATAATATAAATAGTAAATACCTATGTTTACCACAAATTTCTTGAGATTTCCTTTTAAAATATTTTTAAAATTACTAAAACTAAAAGAGATACAGCACTTTTTGGTAAGCTAATGAGATTGTGCCACTTTCATTATTTTATATTTATACATATATTTATTAATTTTATATATTTTACTGAAATTTTACGAAAATTGAAGAAACTTCATCAAAATTTTATGAGCCAAAGGCATTTTTTATCCGTTTTCCGATGCAATTATAGCAAAAGTAAAAGTTTAAATTAATCATGACTTTAAAAAAAAAATTAAAGACGCTTGATAACTCGTTCTTATTGGTCGATTCGGAATCTGTTGTAAATTATTATTAAAGATCCCAGGGGAGGCCTCATGTGAAATTTATGCGAAATTTTCAGTAAATTGCGAAACTTTTAATGAAATTTCTGAAACTTTCACTGGTAATGTTGAAATTTTCGGATTGAAAATTTCATTTGAAATTTTCAAAAATTTCACTTTTCCAACTAAATGAAATATTTCCAGTTTGAAACTTTCAAAGTTGAAATTTTCATTTGAAAATTTCAACTGTCCCATCCCTACCTGTTGCGTTGGTTGCTGTTCTTCCTCTTCTTCGACGCGCTTTTCTTTTTCTTGTTTTTGTTGGTCGTCGTTTTTGCGGACTCGTTAGATTGAAGTTTAACCCTGACGGGGTCGTAGGACTTGCCCAGGATCCTGTTGATCCTGCCGATTATGTTGTCCACGAATCGGTTGTACTTGGATATGTAAATGGCCGGCATTTTCGGCATCATGTTCGAGTTCGTCATCGAACCTAACAATCAATCGTTCGTTTATACAGAGCAAGCGTTTTCAGAAAGATAGAAAACGTTTTATTTAAAAATCATTATCGCCAAAAACGTTATATCACGTTATACAACATATATATTTTTCAAAAAAAAAACTTAGCTTGGCTAGAATTGCAATGTAGAATAATTTTGATGTATACAAGTGTGTCTTGTAGGTATTAACATAGGGCCTTTCCATCTCAAATTGACCATACACTTTCTCTACCGAAGTATATTTTTTTTTGTAAAAAAGGCAAAAAAAATTGAGGTCAAAATTTTGACATTGCCCGAGTTGGCTAAATTCGTCGTTTCGGAATTATTTTTTTTAATGAAAATGCCATTTTCTAGGAAATTCATGGTTCATCGCAAAAATTTGGTATTTTATCTAGGGTCATGCAACTGGGGTGACCTTCATGAAGTGTAATTTACAACTTTTTGACATATTCAACATACTTTTGTCACTTCCGGTTTCACCGGAAATGGCCTTAACTTTTTATTTTTTAATGAAACATCCTATGCATTTTACGTATTTCGATTCAAAATGCGTCTGGAAAAAATACAATTTTATTCTTTTTTTGCAATGCTGGTTTTTAGGAGCTCTCAAAAATTGAAAAACCATAACTATTTTTTACACTTTTTTAAAATTTGTTACCAAATATCAAATTTCAAACTCTTAATTAAATTTGGATGTTTATTATGTTTTAAAGTGTGTACAGAAGTAAATAAATTAAGAAGGCTTTGAAACCTTTGCGTTTAAAAGAAGTATCAGATTTGACAGTTCGTTAGTTTGTTTTGCTGGTAAGTAAATATTAACATTTTATTTTACTATTATTTTAATAAAATAAAATAAAAATAATAATTGAGGTGGTTAGAATTAAAGAGGTGTAAGTCATTACTCAACATTTTTTGGTTTTAAATCTACTAAATAAAATCATTCAAATATTTTAAAATGATTAAAAAAAGTTACATCTAACCTTCCCATAGTGTAGCCATTGTAGGGAATCTCTGCAGAGATTGCCATGGCAATAAATAAAAAAACGAAATATGAAATCAAATAAAACTTTGTTATTTCTAAACATAATTAACATCTTAGGCGAAAAAAATATGAAGTAAAAAAGAATGTGGCAATGACAAAATTTTGACCTCAATTTTTTTGTTGCTTTTTTTAGAAAAACACTTTTAAAAAATTGTGTGAATAAACAAACTTTTTTATATATATTTTTTTTTGTATATAGTAAACATTTTCCTACAATTTAAAAAAAAAATGTTAACAATTGAAACATTTTTGGCCAAGTTTAAAAATTTCCAACGGGTGAACAAAAAAAATTTAAGCAAAAAAAAACTAAAAAAAAAATCGTTGGTCGATTTAAGATGGATAGGCCCACATACAATCTGAAAGCCGTATTATTTCGGTTTAAAATTAAAATAAATCAGAATAAAAAATGGTTCAAGCAGGCCATCAGCCGACCTAACACCTGTTGTTGTTTATGTCGCGTTGGAGAAAGGTCGACCCTGACCCATTGTGGCCACTGACCCGTTCAGAATACGCCTCACATAGGTACCTATAATGTGGCCACAAGAAAACATTTAAATCTACCGTTAGCGTACCTAATAGGTACCATATACACGTATATAGGTACTACCTATATACGTGTATATGGTTTTACAACAATTTACCATTAAGGTACCAGAAACACAACAATGTTTCGACAATTGCAAAAACATTTACGGTTTCTAATATGCATAGCCATCGATGTGGATGATGCATGGATAAAATTTAGAAATTGTTTGGAATGACGAAATCGTCGACCTTTTCGATTGAAGCGAGCCAAGATCAGGTTTAAAGAAACAAAACAAGGTCACCAGGTGACCTACATTTGTAGGAAGTCGGCGATGGACGATGGCCTACTCTTCACATTTTCTGATAAATTTAACGTACGTAAGTTCATTTGAATGAATTTCTTTCTTTTGATATTTCTCGAATATTTGCGACAATTTTCACTTTTCCAACCCACTTATTAACGTTAATTAACCTCAATAATACGATTTTCAGTTTTAAGTACCTACGTAAATATAAGTTAACACTTTGGGAAACCCCATGCATAAACTTAAATAACATTCCTGCCATGCTTCAGTGCACAATTGGCGACAAAATGTCGTTAATTACCTACCTACTGTTAATTACTACTACTACAAAGTACTTAACCAATTTTAGTCAGTTTTCAAGTCAAGTCAGTCCAAAAAAATTATGTCCACATTCTCAGAAATGCAAGCTACTTACTGTATCCAAAAATCCATTTCAATCCAATTTCGAGCTCGTGCATTGTGTTAAAATGTAGGTATGAGTGTAGGTAAATGAAATAATGTAAAAATGATCCACAACCAAATAAGCGTTAGTGTTAGTAGCTGTTAGTAGGTAAAATGTCAAAAATGCATTAGCTAGATAGATGTCACAAACAACAAAATGTTTGAATGAATGTGGGACGAATAAAACACATAAATTTTAAAAAACATCATCTATTTTCTCAATAATTTGTACAGCGTCATCATACATTATTAATTATTTTAATTTCAATAATCGAGTTTGAAAAGTTAAGTCACTGTAGGTGTGACATGTACCTAGTTGAATGCAAATGCATTATCGTAATAAATAAATAAATTAGATAAATTATTAAATAATATTACAGGAAATAAATAAAAAAGTCTACAAGTCTACAGAGCCAAAGAGTTTTGTACATAGCAAAGGAATGTATCATGTATGTTTAAAAGTCCTCCAGAATAAACACTAACAAACTACCTATCTCACTTTGTTTAGGGAAGCTTTAGTATGATGATGGTGGTGGTGGTGGTGTTTCCTAGACTGTTTTGCTTTCTTAATGTGTTTTAAATGTTTGGACTCACGTGCTCGCCTCGCCTCGATCACGTCTTCCAGATCGGCCTCGTCGTCGTCATCCTCGTCATCATCGTCGTCGTCGTCGGCGGCTTCGTCATCATCGTCGTCATCGTCGTCGTCATCGTCACTCAACCCGGCGAGATCGTCGTCATCGTCGTCGTCGTCGTCATCGTCGTCGTCGTTTTGAGTCGAGTCGTTTGCCGGAACGGGCTCGACGACCACCGGTTGGGCCACCGAGTCGGCCGCCGACAAAACGTTATTGTCGTCGGTGGGGTCTTTGTCAATTACGGTGTCTGACGTAAGGTCTGTCTGTTGTTGTTGTTGTTCGTCGGCTGATTGCGCTTGCGTACCGTCAACGGAACCTTCGGATTCTCCTGCTGCTTCCTCGGCCGCGTCCAGCTCTTCCACGGGCGTCTGAACGGCGGCTGCGGCCACTTCCGGTGCGGCGGCAGCTGCTTGCGTTTGCACCTGGGATCCGCTAGATGGAGACACGTCGTCGTCGTCGTCATCGTCGTCGTCGTCTTTAAAAAATAAAACAGATCGATTGTCACTAACTACTGTTATTACACAGTACGACAAAATTCCACTTCCGGTCAAAAAATTCACTTCCGGTTTGACCGGAAGTGACATCGATTTTGTTATTTTTAAATTCTACATGCAATTCTGAGTAAAATTACTATACCATGACCTATACCTAAATGCTAAATTGTTAAATAATAATAATAATTAACTTTAGGTATAGGGAAATTAAAACCAAATTATTATTTTTTTATTAAAAAAAAATAAAATTATTTTCTTTATACATATATAATTTTGGTATTATTTAAAAACATGCAAAATTTAATGAAAAAAAAAATGATTTATAACAAAAAAGAGAATCTGTATAGGTTAGTACGACAAAATTTTATTTTTTTTCCTCTCATGGGGTCTCTCCAGTCAATAAAATTCCACTTCCGGTCAAAAAATCATTTCCGGTTTGACCGGAAGTGACATCGATTTTGTTGTTTTTAAATTCTACATAAAATTCTGAGTAAAATTACTATACCATGACCTATACCTAAAGGCTAAATTGTTAAATATCTCTGAAATAATTAACTTTATAACCTATAGGTATAGGGAAATTAAAAACAAATTATTTTTTTTATAAAAAAAATAAAATTAGTATTTTCTTTATACATATATAATGGTATTGGTATTATTTAAAAACATACAAAATTTAAAGAAAAAAAAATGATTATAACAAAAAAGAGAATTAAAAATGTGTATAGGTTATTACACAGTACGACAAAATTTTATTTTATTTCCTCTCATGGGGTCTCTCCGGTCAATAAAAGTCCACTTCCGGTCAAAAAATTCACTTCCGGTTTGACCGGAAGTGACATAGATTTTGTTATTTTTAAATTCTACATAAAATTCTGAGTAAAATTACTACACCATGACCCAAGGGAGGAAAATCGTTGAACTGTGTTATTAAATACTACAAAATATGGTAAAATAAGTTGGGACTCTTACCTCCTAAAATGTCATCGAAAAGTCTCTCGAAGTAATCGCCTTCGTCATCATCGTCATCATCGTCCGAAGCGCCTGGAAATTAAAAGTCGTTTATAAGCAGAAATTTGAAATTCCGGAAAAAATACTTTCAGTCTCGGAATCGTCGTCGTCATCGTCGTCGTCGTCGTCTCCCAAGCCGATGTCGACGTCGTCGTCATCGTCGTCGTCGTCATCATCGTCCGACGATTGTCTTCCGGTTACTTTGATTTTTTGCTTGGGCAATTTTTCTTCTTTCACCACAGCGACGATCTCTTTCTTCGCAGTTTCTATCGGCTCTTCTTTTTCCACCGCTTGTTCGGTTATTTCCGGTTTTTCGAACACGCCCGTGGTGGCTTCCTGGTCGAGTCCAGATTTCCGGACGTCATCGATGATCGATCTTCCCACCGAGACATCGTCAGCAACGATTATCGTTTGAATGGGGTTCGATCTGATGCCGACGAACAAGAGACACAAAAGTGTCCCTAACACGTGCAACCTCATGGTTCTGCAAAAATAATTACAAATACTTCACAAAACTGCGTTAGCTATATAGCTAACTGTTTATTTATTTTTACAGTTAATTTGCAGCGCTCATACGTTGACCTTATAACACTTCGACAGTATCAACCATTATTTCATTAATAATCCGGAAATCAACACCAACTCACCCTTATGCGTTAATTTTCGAAAAAAAAAAAAAAATATGCACACTACGCACTAGATGGACTAGTATGAAGCAGGATCTGTCACACTTTTAAATCGTTCTTAACTTGTGTTAACAAACAAACAAACTCAACTTACCGCTTTGTAGGTCACTTGCGAAGACACTGAACTGATTCACCACAAATAAATTAAAAAAAAAAATGAATTCACGCCAGTTGTCTTTTTGGAGTCTCGCAATCCACTTTTCCGTTGTATCGAACACGAACAAATGCTCCTGCATCGAACGCTCATTTGTTCTTATAGCCGCCTTGACGTCACGGCTCCTCCTGCTTGTTTCTTCGTTCATTCTTCATTTTCTTCTTTGGGTGCTTGTTTCCTCCTTATTTCGATCATTCATATGAATTCAATCCAGTCAAAATTTATTTAAAAATTTGTTTTCAGATTTTCCGATTTTTACTCTTACAATTTCTAACATGACAATTTTTCATTTAAATTTTATTTAAAAAAAACTATTACTACTCAAAATAACTACAGTTAATTTTTTTTTCATTTGGAATCGTGTTTTTTTATTAAGTTGGTAGCTTCTGCAATTAAACTCTCTGACACTGTCAAATTGACAGTAATATTTATTATTGAAAATTTACTTGTTAATTAATTATTTTTTACAATGTTTTAAAAGTCTAAAACCTATCCTCCGTGACTGTTACTCTTTCTAGGTTAACCTATATGTTTTCAAATATCTGAGGTAGTAAAAGCATACTAAAAATATCAGTTCACTAAGTAAATTAAACACATCCAATGCAATCGAATCAAATATAAAATATTATTAAAAATTAAAAGAAATAATTTGTATAACCATTTATATAGGTGTTACAATTGATTCTATCCTCCGTGAATCAGTTTTTGCTTTGAATTTTATGCAACGGATGGTGCTTTAATCATTTTAAATAAGCAAAAACCTCTGTTTACGACATTATAGATGCATGTGATTCCTGAAGGTCAGTTAGAATTTATATGCAGATGAGAGTGTTGCTGTTTTATAATTCAAAAGTTTATGTTCATTAATTTGCTATTTAAAAACCTAACCACCGTGAAGTGTAATATCTCAGAAGGTAGATTTTTTTTATAAATATTTTATGTAAGTACAATTGTATTTTTTAAAAATATTAAGGTGTCAAAAGATACAATAACTTATTTCAAATAAACAAAGGGATGTTAAAAAAACATACGAAATCCTAACCTCCGTGAAGCTCTAATATTCACAATGTATGATTTCTTAAAATTCTTGTATTATGGCAGAATCACTTATGTATGTTATGTTATTACTAGACCTGGTGGCTTCCCAAAACAGTGAAACAACCAAAAATAAAAAATAATCATTATCACTTGGGGGCATCTCAATATATTCACCCAGATATAAGTTGAACTATTTTTATACAAAATTTTATAAATATTGGGCGTTTTAGAGTTGGAATTAATTTTTTAAGTTGTTAATTCGTTAATTTTGACGCGCACTGTATGTTTTCGTGCATTCTTTTCGGGTCATGAAATATTTCGGAAAAAATACGAAAAAGTAAAACGGAAGTGTAAAAGTGTTTCACACACGAAAACCGAAACTAGTTCAAAATAAAAACGAAATGATTACCTACATGATAATTAGCCTTATACTGAGTAGGCCTATTAAATAAATACCTTTAGGATGCTAAAAATAATTTAACAAGCAAATATTGAAAGAAAGTCCAAATAATAATTTCTACTGCAGTAAAAAATCTTGCTTTACTTTCGTTATTGTGTTTGTATTGTTTATTTGTGTTAAAAAAGTATATTTTAAAATTGTAGGTACCTACCAATTTTATTAAAAAAATCAGTGGGTTAATTTTTTTAGGGTCAGTAGGTGAAAAGAAAGACCAATTTGCAAGAAATCATTAAAGAAATAAATTCTTCTATTTTTCGTAGGAAATTTAAGTGGATAGGTATTTTGTTTAATCAAAGCACACGGGGCCAATACCTGAATTTCATTTACATTTTTAACTAGCTACTTTCTATTTTCTACAAGCAATTCTATAAATATTATTAGCGACGTTTTAAGACAATGTTAATGGCGTCTTGGAATTACTAAATTATACGAATACTTTCATCTAAAAACCGAGAAACATGGAAAACATTTGGTAGGCAGGAATTTATTTGTCGAATCAAGCAAGCTCGCTGGTGCCGGGAACCCAAATTTTTCAAGGATGAGATGATGAGAAAGGACGTATTAACTTCCACTTTCTTTTATGATTTACCTTCGACCGACTCACCGTCACCGGTCGTCGTTCCGTGGGGTAATGCACTCGCGATCAAGTAGGTTATACGAAGAATCCTTCTTCTGTTTTCATGGCCAACGATGTTTCATCTATTATTTATAGGCTTCCTACGATTTGTAAGGCAAATTTGTTTTATGTACAGTTACGCATGCTCGTAAGTATCAAATTGCCATTATTGAAGGTAGGAATTTTAAATGAATTAAAAAGACCAATATTAAAACAAGGTAAGTAATAATGGTAATATTGTGGTATTTATAATTAACAATAAATAAAATAGCGGTGAAATGTTTTATAAGGAAAATCAGACCGTACCGTATGAAGGTCGTTGGTTAACCTCAAAATCTATTTGAATAATTTACGACGAAAATTTCATTTATAATTAATTCCGAGCTACACTCCATTATTAAATACCGAACAATCCCTACTCAAATAAATGTGTGATGTGATAAATTAAGCGTTTTAATTAATTTGTGGCGCCATCTAATAGTCAACTCGTAAACTAAACACAGGTTTCTTTAATAGGCGATCCAGGGTTTGACATTAGTCGATGTATAGGTTAAGTTGTATGGAATAGCAGCATAATTTGTTAAATTTAAAGGAAAATGTCTGTTTTGGAGAAATTACAGCAAGGTCCTCGCGAAGGAGTCACCTACCCGTTGTCGCTTGCGTATTGCGGCAACTGTTCGATGCCGATTGAGGTAAAATGACGTTTAAAAATTCATTTGAAACCCCTTACTTGTTGTAGTATTGCGAATATTACCCGGAATACGACAAGTGCAAGCAATGGTTGGAGAGAAACTTGCCTTCGGAGTTCGAGAAGGTGAAAATCGGCGACGACGGTGGTTCGGTGGAAGAAGAAAAAAAGAGGCAGAAACGGGGCGGAAAGGGCATGATTAAAACCAAAAAGAAGGAGGACGGGCCTAAGCAGGTGTGCGTTTCCAGAGCCCCCAGAGGCAAGAAGAAGTCCGTCACTGTGGTTACAGGACTCAGTAGCTTTGGTAGACAATCAAAATTCAACTTTACCTTGTGTCTAATAAATTTTGTTTAGATATCGATTTAAAAGTGGCAGCCAAGTTTTTCGGTACCAGATTTGCATGTGGTTCTTCTGTCACTGGAGATGATGAAATTGTTATTCAAGGAGATGTTAAGGACGATTTGTTTGATGTTATTCCAGAAAAATGGCCAGAGGTAAATAATATACAATATTTTTATATGTTAATTGAATATGCTTTTTTTTCTAGATTGATGAGGATCTAATTGAGGATTTAGGTGACCAAAAACGATAGACGTTGTTTAGATATCCTGTGGCAGTAGGCACAGGATTTTTGATAAATTGTTTTTGTAAATAAAATGTGTTGTCACAGATTATATTTTATTTATATATTAATTGGGTTCAGCCTGTGGATCACCTTCAGCAAATCTTTCCTGAATTTGATCTTCCTTTGGGTTCCAAAACATTTGCACCAGGTACTGTAACTTTTTTTATTTTAAATCCGATTTTGACGAAGTCGAGATTAAAAGATTGTCTATTTAATCTTGTTTTCCAAAATGTATAAAAGTTAATGGGCGACTTTCATGCGTTGTTAGATAAACCACAAAATATGACAGAAAAAAATAGGCGTTCACCAGGTATAGTAACTTTTTTAATTTAAGTGCGATTTAAATGAATTATATGTCAAATTAAAGACAAATTTATCTAGTTTACAAAAATAGTCACACATATATGGCGACTTCCATGCGTTCCTAGATATTTAACAAAATGGAAAAGAACGTCAAAAAATAACCTTTATGCTTATACACCAATACATCAGTTTAAAGCACATTATATAAAATCTCGCAGTTATCCCACGATACCTAGTTATGCTTAAAAAAATGTTTTTAAGGTACACCAGGTCATTCAACTTTTTTAATTTTAATCCGATTTTAATATTTTATACGTCAAAATAAAGCCTTTTTAATCCAGTTTTCAAAAATATATACATGTTGACGGATACTTCCATACGTTTTTAGATATACCACAAAATATGAGAGAAAAAAATAGGCGTGCACCAGGTCACATAAGTTTTTTAATTTGAGTGCGATTTAAATGAAATAAATGTTAAATTAAAGACACATTTATCTAGTATTCAAAAATAGTCCGACATATTGGCCGCCTTCCATGCGTTCCTAGATATTTATATATGTCAAAATTTTCGAAATGGTAGATTTTTACAAAAATAATCAGGGATTAATTCATAAAAAAGGTGTTACTCTTTTATAAAGTATTTTTCTAAAAATTTGTCAACGTCATTTTTAAAAGCAAAGCTCTTTTTATAAACCTTTAAAATTTGCTTAAACTTCCATTTTGGTATTTTATTTTATTAAAGAATAAAATATAAATGTGCTCGAATTTCGAACTTTCGTATAGTTTTAAAGTGCAAAAATAACTCACTTCTGCTGGTTTGACTGCATTAAGACTCTTTTTTGGCGCCCGCAGCACTTTCCTGAACATCACAATTAAGGTAAACTTTCTCGAACTCAAAACAAACAAACCCTTGAAGCAAAAATCATCGTCATCCGGTCATTATTCCAATTATGCCTTCGGTCGGGAGTTGATACAATTAATATGGAAATTCGGCGGGAGAACAGTTCGAAAATGGTCGTTTGATAGACGTTAGAGAATAATTTAGCCGGCAAATAATTCCAGAAAACACGGGGGCGACTGCGAACGACCGTACTACATCTAATTACGATACAAAAATCTGTGTAACTTTTGTAGTTTTAATTTTTACGTGAAAAATCAAAAATTGTCATTTTTGAAGTATATGTTTTTTTCACATTTTTGCTTTAATCCTAATGAAATTCTCTTGGTATACTTTTAAAAATGTAATTTATTTGTCAAAATTGTGGACTTTTACAAAAATGGTGAATTCGCCGGGATTAATTAAAAAACTCTTTTAAAAAGTATTTTACTAAAAATTTGTTAACGTTATTTTAAAAAGCAAAGTTTTTTTTAAATCGCATTAAAATTGTGGAAGATGCATTTTTTATGTGAAATATCAAAAATTGGCATTTTTTAAATACATTTATTTTTGCTATAATCTTAATGAAATTTTCTGGGAATACTTTTAAAAATACGCGTTTTTTAAAAATTTCATGTAAAAATTTTCACAATTGTATACTTTTACAAAAATGGTGAATTCGTCGGGATTAATTTATAAAAATCTTTGTAACTCTTTTAAAACGTATTATACTAAAAATTTTTTAACGTCATTTTAAAAAGCAACATTTTTTCTATAAACTCTTTTTTTTTTAAATCGCATTAAAAATGTGGAAGATGTATTTTTTTATGTGAAATATCAAAAATTGGCATTTTTTAATTTCATTTATTCACTATTCAATATGAAATTTTCTGGAAATACTTTTAAAAATACGCATTATTTGAAAATTTAATTTAAATGGCAAAATTTTCACAATAATAATAATAATAATAATTATTGTGAACTATTGTAAACTTTTACAAAAATGGTGAATTCGCCGGGATTAATTTATAAAAAACTGTAACTCTTTTAAAAAGTATTTTACTAAAAATTTGTTAACGTAATTGTAAAAAGCAAAGTTTTTTTATAAACTCTTACATTTTTTTTTAAATCGCATTAAAACTGTGGAAGATGCATTTTTTTATGTGAAATATCAAAAACTGTCATTTTTAAATACGTTTATTCACCACATTTTTGCTATAATCTTAATGAAATTTAATTTTGATGTCAAAATTTTTAAAATTGTAGACTTTTAGAAAAATGGTGAATTCGCCGGGACTAATTTATAAAAAACTATGTAACTCTATTAAAAAATATTTTACTAAAAATTTGTTCATTTCAAAAAGAAAAGTTTTTTCTATAAACCCTTTAAATTTTTTTTAAATCGCATTAAAATTGTGGAAAATGCTTTTTTTATGTGAAATATCAAAAATTGGCATTTTTTTAAATACATTTATTCACCACATTTTTGCTATAATCTTAATGAATATTTCTGGGTATACTTTTAAAAATTCGCAATATTAAAAAATTTAATTTAAATGTTAAAATTGTCTAAATTGTATACTTTTACAAAAATGGTGAATTCGCCGGGATTAATTTATAAAAATCTTTGTAACTCTTTTAAAAAGTATTTTACTAAAAATTTGTTAACGTCTTTTTAAAAAGCAAAGTTTTTTCTATAAACTCTTAATTTTTTTTTTTAAATCGCATTAAAACTGTGGAAGATGCATTTTTTATGTGAAATATCAAAAATTGTCATTTTTTAAATACGTTTATTCACCACATTTTTGCTATAATCTTAATGAAATTTTCTGGAAATACTTTTAAAAATACGCATTTAAAAATTTAATTTATTTGTCAAAATTTTCACAATTGTAAACTTTTACAAAAATGGTGAATTCGCCGGGATTAATTTATAAAAATCGTTGTAACTCTTTTAAAAATATTTTACTAAAAATTTGTTAACGTCATTTTAAAAAGCAAAGTTTTTTCTATAAACCTTTTAAGTTTTTTTTAAATCGCATTAAAATTGTGGAAGATGCATTTTTTTATGAGAAATATCAAAAATTGGCATTTTTAAATACATTTATTCACTACATTTTTGCTATGATCTGGAAATACTTTTAAAAATACGCATTATTTAAAAATTTAATTTAATATCAAAATTTTCACAATTGTAAACTTTGACAAAAATGACCATGAAAAATTTTAAAGATCGAACAGACCTAAAGTTATAGCCTCTACACCATAATTTAATTTTAATCCAACATCAAGGTCGCAATCTTTTTTTACGATAAGAACTCTAAAAAAAATAACGCTTTTATCCCTTAATCTTATAATAATAACTCAAGGATCAAATAATCATAAATTAATGTTAAATAAGAAAAAAAGTTGTTTAAATTTTTTATTCGCCCCAACCAAAATAACCTAACCTTATTATAATTAATACTAAAAAATCAAAAATCAATCAATTTGTTTCGCCCCAACCAAAATAACCTAACCTTATTATAATTAATACTAAAAAATCAAAAATCAATCTTTTACATGTTTTAGACAAAATCTACATGTAAACATTTGGTGCAAAAAAGACTTCCAAGAAGACCCAAATTGAGGAGTTATGATCAGGAAGATTAACTCTTCATATCGCCATGTTTCCTTTTGATGTGCCGTTTGAAGCTGGTATTGTCGGTGCACGTAGACGGGCAATGCGGGCAATTGATCTTGAAGCCGTCGTGTTTTATCCTGACGTGGCTGTTTTTTGATACTGCGTTTAGGAATAGTTTGTCGCAATGTGGACACGAGTATTTTTTTGTTTGTGCGGGGTCGCCGTGTTTACTTTTAATGTGTCTTTTTAAATTGTATATTATTGTGAACGCTTTCGGGCAATGCGGACATTTGTGTTTAATTCTTTGTAGGCGATCGCCATGTCGCCTTTCAACGTGAGCTTTTAAATTACCTTTTGTCGTGAAAGGTTTTGTGCAATGCGGACATTTTCTTTCTCTTCCTTGCAAAGGATCGCCGTGTTGGATTCGAATGTGGCGTTTTAAATGTTTACTTGCTTCGAACGCTTTTGGGCAATGCGAACAACTGCAACGGTTGTGTTTTCTTTTCATATGCATGCTTAAACTGGTTCTTTTGAAGAATTTTTTGTCACAATCCAAACAATGGTGTTTTTTTATTTTTAAGGGACCGACATGTTCCCTCTGAACGTGTTTTTGTAAATGTTCGCCTATTATGAAAGCTTTTGGGCAATGTGGACACTTGTGAGGATGGCTGCCGTGTTCTTTTTTAACGTGGCCGACTCTACTTTGCCTGGATGAGAATTTTTCGTCGCAAAATCGACATTTGTATTCGTGTTTTACGGCATGCACGATTCGAAGGTGTTTAACCAAGCTAAACTTGTGAGTGTACGCTTTTGAGCAATGTGGGCAAGAAAATTTAAAACCTTCGTGTCTCTTTAAACTCGGTATGCTCGAGAATATTTTGTGGCATTGCAAGCATTTGGTTTGCAAGGAATCCCCATGGCTTCCGACGTGTTTATTTAAGCCTTATTTATCGGCATACGCTTTTGGACAATGCGGACAAATGTAATTATAACCCTTGTGTTTTATTTTAACGTGTTGGGTCAAAGAGTCCTTCTCTATGAATTTGTCGTCGCATTGTGTACATTCGTACTCTTTTTTTTGCGAGGGATCGCCATGTTTGCTTTTAATGTGCTGAATTAAAGTACAATTTCTCGTGTACGTATTCTGGCAATGCGGGCAATTCACCCTTAAGCCGTGTTGTAATCTCATGTGCTCGATTTTTGATACCATCCTTGTAAATATTCGGTCGCAATGTGGAC